TCTTACTCTCAACCCTACTGTCTAACTAAATATTACTGTTATTAAGCAGCATATTTCCAAAGGAGAGTTTCCCAGAGTTACCAGCTCACCCTGCATCTCAATCTTCCCTTCACTGGAATATCAGAAATATGCCAACTGATTAACACCATGACTCTCTGATTATAGATTTCACATTCTCTTTTTCCCTCTTTCTATGAATTTTAAATTGTTTTATTTTTGTTCTGGAAATTTTATCTTTACTAAAAACCTTTCAGTGCAGTATTAACAGACATATTAATGCACTGAGACTTTGCATAAGCAGTTATTCCACACAAAACTGCATAGATAAAGACACTTCCAACGATACTGCTGATTTTTAATAAACAAAGTCTTCCTCTTTCAGGAGAAATTTTTACTGTGACATTATGTTTTTACCATCTTTTGGGTCAATTCTGCATAAGCCAGGATGGCCACTCCCTGTCCCGTTCCATGATCCTCCTGCTCTGATTTTCTTCAGATAGTGTTTCTCCCATGTACAGAACCATAGTCTCTGCAGTAGGACCTTCCAAAGAGCTACCTTCTTGTTTCCCTATCTGTTGTGTTAGCTGCAGTCTCTTTACACACTTTCTCATAGCAATAGCCATAAAGGACATGCTTCTGATTATGTTGACTACATTCTGGACAAATGTCTATTATTCTTAACTTTAATAAGCTTATGGGAGTCTCTTCTCCCACACCAATTAACTTCAATGCTGAATATGTTTTTAGGAGCTGGCATCCAAAAGACTGAACTTCTCCTTCCTTTCAAACTGGTGTCATTGACTCTGTAAAGATGGTTGGCTTCTGGATGGTTAATGCTGGTTCTTTCTGATCAGCTGATTCACTCTCCAAATGCCAGCATGGCCTGGGTTGAAGTTGGGAGCCTGGAATTCAATCCAGGTTTCCCATGTGAGTGGCAAGAACCTAACTACTTAAACTATTGCCACTGCCTCCCATGGTCTACATTAGCAGGAACTTCCTAGAAAACACTAGAAAAGCCTGATCAGCCCTGTTGAAGCTTCTGCTGTAGTCACTTCCAACATTTTCAGAAGTAGTCACAGGGTTTCTGGCCACTGGTGAGCCACCAGGACCAGCACAGGTGATACCATCTTCCAGATTTCACATACTTAATGTTAACCAGTCAACTCAGCTGAAGATCCTAAATGCTGAACACAGTGGAAGTGTGTGTGTGTGTGTGTGTGTGTGTGTGTGTGTGTGTGTGTGTTTTCTGAGACCTATGTTTCAATCACATTGCTGATCCATATGTGTTGGATTTGAAGACAGCTAGGAAGGCAAGAGTGTGGTGGTGGATCCTCTGTGTCTACTTGTCTGGGCTAGGGTGCCCAGATGTTTGGTCAAACTCTCCACATGTGGCTGTGAAAGTCTTTTTGGAAATATGTAATTGGCATTTAAATCTTCAGATTTTGTAAGGCAGATTGACCCTGACAATGTGAGCGAGCCTCATCCAATCAGTTTAAGAACTCAGTGAAAAGAAGACTGAAGAACCACGGGAAGAGAGGATTCTGCCAGGAGACTGCTTTTGGACATGACCTGCAGCATCAGCTCATCCCTGGATCTCAGCCTTCCTGTATGCCCTGCCCTGCAGACTTTTACCTCATCAATCTCCACAATCAGGCAGTGAATTCCTTCTCTCTCTCTCTCTCTCTCTCTCTCTCTCTCTCTCTCTGTGTGTGTGTGTGTGTATACAGGTATATCTCTCTCTCTCTCTCTCTCACACACACACACGGACATCCTATGGGTTCTGTTTTGGTCTTTGGGAGAACCATAATTCAGGGAATAACCTCAGGCCTCATGTTCACAACCTTGCAACTCAGCAGTTTAGGAAGTCCTTTCCTGACATGCGGCTCTCTTGACCTACAACTGGCAGGGAGTTCACCTGGCAGGGAGGTCCTGCAGTAGGACCTTTCAGAAACTGTCCTCTTACAGCTGACTGCAATTTGCCTTTCTGCCTTTTGGTGTCTGATTCTAACAGACAGGTGCTGGACATAGTGTGCCTACCTTCACCTGGTCAAGAAGGGACATCTGTCAGATCAAAGGTGATTTTACTCATCTATTATCTCCAAACATGCTACTTCTTGAACTATCAATGCAAGTGATGCATGCAATTGATTCCTCTCCAAAAAGGTAGCATGTAATCAGTGCACACAACAAACAAGAAAATTAATTTAGAGAGGAAAAAATAGATGCTTTAATGGGGTCTACAGGAAAATTGAAGAACTTCCAAAACAATACTCTGGACCATATTACCAAGATGAGCTCTGTGTCAAGAAAATGTCAGTCAAAATGAATTTTGGGCAGAGATGCTTGAATCCCTCCATATTATAAGAAGCCTTATTTTCAAGTACAGCAATCAGCTTCATAACCGAGAGAGATCTCTGGCCAGATTCAGCAGTGTGTTCACATGGTTACATGGATCCCAGCACTTTGTGATATAAGCGTCTATCTTATCTTCCCAGTACCCAGTGCTACAGTCCCTTGGGAGAAGAGCTGATATCTTGTGGTCTTATTATTAGTAAGCTAGACCCTTGCATATGGTAAGAAGTGTGGGAGAAAGGAAAAAGGGAGAAGAGGGAAAATAAATGGTAGGAAAGTAGGGAGTTGAGACAGTCAGCAAAGGTTAATCAGGGGATATGCTCTCCACCTACTGCCTACTGCACAGCACTAAGAATGAGCAGAACACAGGGAATGGGTCAAGGCTGAGTCCTTGCCTGCCACCGTCTTTCTCTTTCAGACTGAAGTACTGAGAACTATAATATTTGTGAGCAATTTCCAGGAATTATTATGTTAGGTAAGCCTACTTTTATTATTCACAGATTTTCTGTATTTGCAACTTCACCTACTTGTTAAAATTTATTCGTAACTTCCAAAGCAATACTCACAGTCCTTTCTTGGTTATCTGTGAACATGCACAGAGTGTTGCTTGATGTGCATGTTTCCAGCTGGGGCTGAACAAGACCCCTGCCTTCCCAGCTGTTGTGCTGAAAACATGTGTCCTTTCCTCCATCCACTCAGTCCCCATTTTTGTGCTTTTTGTTGGTGACTGCTATGTTAAATGCCTGCCATTATAGTACTGACATACAATCTAATGCTTAAAAGAAAATACACGTTAGTTAAGTGTGGGGAGCAAACCGGACTAGACTGAGTTACTGGAATTAAGACTTATTCTATGCATCTGCTCTCCCACAATATGGCGCTGGGAGAGAAGTAAACAGCTTCCGCACAGCTGCCTCCAGTTCAACCAATAAACTGTAGGACTTGCTCCTGATTGGAGAGCAGCGTACTCAGCGTGTGGGCAGCCGAGTTAGGATTGGCGGAGGAGGACTATAAAGGAGGAGAGAGACGGCATGCACCAGGAACATCTAAGGGGAACATCTGAGGGAACGCCTGTGCAGCCCCCAGAGAGCCGGCCGGCGGTGTGCCGCTCCCCTGCGGAAGTGGGGAATGTGGCCAGGGGGAACTGCCCTTCCACGGAGGTGGAAGGGACAGTAGCCAACCCGGGAAGAACCAGCAGCGAACCCGGGGAGGGCCGAGCAGACGAAAGAACAGCGCAGGGTCCTGTGTCGTTCCTCCACGAAGAGGGGGAGCGACAGTTAAGCTTCAATCAGTCACGAGTTATGGTGCTGGAGGTCATGAGTTCACTGGTAGTGAATTAGCAAAATATATTTGATAAGATGTCTTTACATAGATATAAATGTAAAAGAAGGGTATGGATTGATGGGTTGATGAAAATATCATGTCTAGAGGCTCTCAGGAACCTTACTCTGTTTTTCCTGTGGGAGTTATAGTTTGGTACTCCCTAATTCATGTTTAAGATGAATTTATAGAGTTTAGTATTGTAAATAATGAGAATTATTATTTTTATTGGTGAGTTCTTTGGCACCCCCAATTCTGGACTTGGTGCTGGAAACTCATGGAGAAATGGCTCGTTATTCACTAAGCCAGGATTTGTGGTGATTCTATGGAGCATAATTGCCATGAATGAAAATCAACTGTCCCTGATACATTATTTTACATAATCATTACACTGGCAGTCCTATAAGGTATGGACTATTATTAAGACATGGAAATTGAGGAAATTAAGTTTAATGGAGGTAAGTAACTTGCTCAAATTGATCATAGAATAGAGCCAGTAATTCTTGGGAACAGGATTTGAACCCAGGCAGTTTGACTCCAGAGCCCACACAAGCTCTACCACTTGCTGTCCATCTACCTTCCCCTTCCTCACAAGGTAAGGTTATGGGTAGGGGGCCAAAGGCTGAAGGGTGACTGCAGGGACACTGGACCAGTGTTTCTTTTTTTATTTATTTTTATTTTTTTAAAAAAAGATTTTTATTTATTTATTTGAGAGGTAGAGTTACAGTGAGAAAGAAAGACAGAGAGAAAAGTCTTCCTTCCTTTGGTTCACTCCCCAAATGGCCACAACTGTGGCCACTGGAGCTGTGCCAATCCAAAGCCAGGAGCCGGGTGCTTCTTTCTGGTCTTCCATGTGGGTGCAGGGGCCCAAGCACTTGGGCCATCTTCCACTGTTTTCCCAGGCCATAACAGAGAGCTGGACTGGAAGAGGAGCAACTGGGACTAGAACTGGGGCCCATAATGGATGCCGGCACCGCAGACGGAGAATTAACCAAGTGCGCCACGGCACTGGCCCCACCAGTGTTTCTTAATCTCCTGATACCATGGAATCTTTTGACAGACTGATGAAGCCTTTATATCCTTTTCCAGAAGGATGTTTGTAAAATCTTGAAGCACACAGAATTACAAAATAAATCGATTGTATTGAAATACATTTATCAAATTACTGAAAAGTTCAGTGGCACAATAATGCATCTGCGTTTCTATGAATGCATTATGTAGTAAGCTGCCCAGAAGGTCAAATAGGTGCTGTAATTTTGAAGTATTGACTAGCATAAAAAATGTCCTAAGATATATACAAATATCATAACACAGCGTGAAAATGTTACCTCTCTTGGTGACAAAGTCAAATTAGTTGTGCATGCCACAGCAGCATCTACAAACATGGAAAATGGAAGAAAAAGCCACGTTTCAGTTCCAAGTTGACAAAACAGACCCTGTCTCCCACCTTGACATCCATGTTCCCTTTTCCTGTGAATTCTTTCCATGGATGCCTCAGGTAAGGACACTTACACCAGCCATATTGGAAACTAACAGGCTGAGCACATGGGCAGTGGGAGGAGGTCGTGTGAAGTCATTTTTTCCTATCTTAATAGTCTATTGGGGAATAAAGGAGTTTTAACCAAGCCCCTTTTATGTTACTCTGTCCCTTGATTCATGCCATAGGCTGTGAAAGAACAGGATGGATTCAGAGTGGTGGGGAGGACCTTCTATATTCAACATTTAGGATCTAAGCAGGGTATCTGGAATCACATCAGGTGTTAAAAGGCAGGATGCCATGGGTAGCTAAGTCTTCTTTCATGGAGATGAGGTGACAAAACCACCTCAGAGTCGTCCACACAAAATGCATAGGATTGGCAGTATCTCATGCAAACTCTAAAATGAACATATGGGCTGAGAGTTTTGGTTCACTAGATTAACTCCAGGTTCCCATGAATATTTCATGATGAGGATTTTTAATTTCATTTTAACTGTTTTCAAACTTCCATAACGTTATTTTAAATTTTTTATTGGGAACTAACAAATTGCAATGATAGATAAAGAGACAGAGATAGAGAGATAGAGAGGTAGATAGATAGATAGATAGATAGATAGATAGATAGATAGATAAACTGTGGAATGATTAATTTGAGCTACTTAAACATGCATCTTTTTAACTATTTATCATTTTTTGTGCTGAGAACATTTGAAATTTACTCTTAGTAGTTTTGAAATTCACAATACCTAATTATTAACTATAGTCACCATGCTGTGCAATACACCTCAAAAAACTATCTCTTGTCTAACTGGAAGTTTGTACCCTTTAACCCACATCTTGTCATGACCTCCTCTCCACTTGCCCTCCCACCCCCCTGCATCCAGTACCCACCATCTACTCTCTGCTTCCATGAGCTCAATTGTTTTAGAGTCCACATGTACATGAGATCACGTGACATTTTCCTTTCCATGTTTGGCTTATTTCACTTAGAATGGCATCCTCTAGGCTCACCCATGTTTTGGCAAATAACAAAATTTCATCCTTTTGAAAAGTTAAATACTATCCCATTATACACAAACATATCATATTTTCTTTATACATTTATCCATTGATGGATGCTTAGATTGATTCCATAACTTATATGTTGTGATTGTTGCTACAATGAACATGGGAGTGCAGATCTTGTCAACATATGATTTCAGATCTTTTAGATATACTTATATACCCAATAATGGGATTGTTGGATCATATTGCAGTTCTGTTTTTAAAAGTTTTATCTATTTATTTGAAAGAGAGGGAGGAAGGGAGGTAAACAGAGAGAGAGACAGAGAGAAAGAGACATTCCATTTGCTGGTTTACTTCCCAAATGCTCACAACAGTAGGGGCTGGGCCAGGCCAAATCTAGAAGCCAGTAACACCATCTGGATCTACCACTTGGGCAGCAGGAGCCCAATTATTTGGGCCATGATCTTCTGCCTCTCAGATGCATTAGCAGGGATGTGTATCAGAACCACAGAGGTCTATGAGTCAAACCAAGCACTCTGACATTGTATCTATTATATAATATCCTTTTTTGTCTCTTTATAGTTTTTGATTTAGTCTATTTAGTCTCATAAAAACATAGTTATCCCTGCTACCTTTTGATTTCCACTTGCATGGAATATATTTTTCTGCTTTTCAGTTCCAGTCTATATGTATCCTTCTAAGTGAGTCTTTTGTAGGTAGCATATAGTTAAGATATTCTTTTTGTAATTTTCTTTTTTTAAACTTTTATTTAGTAAATATAAATTTCCAAAGTACAACTTATAGATTACAATGGCTTTTTCCCCCCATAACTTCCCTCCCACCCTCAACCCTCTCAACTCCCGCTCCCTCTCCCATTCCATTCACATCAAGATTCATTTTCAATTATCTTTATATACAAAAGATCAGGTTAGTATCAGTTCAACAGTTTGCACCCACACAGAACATAAAGTGTAAAATACTGTTTGAGTACTAGTTATAGCATTAATTCGTAAAAAAGTCTTCACTCTGTCTTTTTTCTTAAAGAATGTAATCCACTTACATTCAAAGTAATTATTGCTGGATAATGACTTACTACTGCCATTTTATAATTTGTTACTTGGTTGTTTTGTAGATACTTTGTTTCTTTCTTCCTCCTTTGCTGTCTTCCTTTGTGGTTTGATTGTTTTCCATAGTGGTACAATTGGACTCCTTTCTATTTATGTTTTGCGCTTCCACTATAGATTTTTGCTTTGTGGTTACCAAGTTTATAGAAAACATCCTATAGCTATTGTCTACTTTAAGTTAATAACAACTTAACTTTGGTCACATGCAACTATATAGGGTTATTGTCTCTTAGATTCATTTTATGTTTTTAACGTCAAAATTTACACAATTTTGTAATTTATATGTCTTGATAATTTATCTTAGCTATAGCTACTTTTAATATTTATGTTTTAACTTGCATATTAGAGATAAAAATCACTTTACATGCTATCTTAAAGCATTTTGAGTATGAATCTGTATGACTTATACCATTGATTTTTGTGCTTTTATATGTTTTATGTTGTTAATTAAAGACTTTTTTTCAGCTTCAAACTTCCTTTAAGCCATTCCTGTCAGATAGTCCCAGTGGTGATGAACTTCCTTAGCTTCTGTTTCTCTGGGAAAGTTTGCATTTCTTCTTCAAAGTTTGCTGGGTGATGTATTCTTGGTTGGCAGTTTTTTTTTTTCTTTCAGCCCTTAGAATTCTCATTCCACTCTCTCCCAGCCTGAAGAATTTCTGTTGAAAAAGTCACTGAGCACCATACTGGGATTCCCTTGTATAAAGGGTTTTCAAAAAGTTTATGTAAAATGCAATTATGAAAAAATCATTCATGGAATTAAAAAAGAATTGATCTCTATTACATTTTTATTAATTGCCTGAAATGCTGCATTTAAAGTGAAGTTTTTAAAATATAGTAATTTCCATGAACTGCTGAAAAACATAAAATGAGAATAAATCTCACAGAGTAACATGGTTTTTTCACATATCTGAACCCTGACAGGTGAAGATTTATCAGCAAACTGGACAACTGTGGTGTTCAGCTGTGTTTCGCCATTCCAGAAAAATGAGAAGGTGGTCATGATACACAATATACATTTTGGAAGTGGAGCCAGGATGATTTCTGATTTATTTGCACTTATCAAAAGGGAAGAAAACAATCTCAGATGAGGACAAACAAATTTAAAAAAATTCTGGTTTAGAGGACCCCTGTGTTATTGCATTTCACCCTTCTAGCCAATGTGAGAGCAATCACAAACTTAACGGAATTAGGAGCACTACACTTGAATCAACTTGAACATGAAATAAATTAATAACAAGTATCCAAGAAATTAAATTCTGCAAGCATCTGCAAACACGGAGTTGCCAATGACATCTAGCATAGAACTCTGCAGTTCAGCCAAACACATCTGAAAGTTAGAAAAAAAAAAGTCTCCATTTTCTGGTTGGGAATAGTTGCATCTGCTTTTTTCAATGCACATGAATTTAGGGAAACATAGAGACACACAGTGACTCTGGTGAAATGTTTAGCATCATGAAGAACTACAGTGACTAAAAAAAAACAAACAAAAATACTTTTTAGGATATTTATTTTATGTAAACTGTGTAGGCAAGTAATATAAGATCCTAATAACTGGGTTTTACCATTTACGACCTAAAAAAGGAAAGAGATTCTTGGGAACAAATTTGAGGACTGAATGAATGATTGCCCCTACCCTATCCTACCTTGTCCATCACAAACTGGGAATAGAAATAAACCAGGCAGCCTCCAGGAATCTGGAGTTCACAGTTTGGAGATGATTAAGAACAGATGTGACAGCCAGGTCCTGAGAGGCTGCGTGACAGCCAGCAGTAATTGAGCAAGTGCCTTCCTAGGGGACACAACAGGAGTGAGCTTAGACATCACTGTCCAATACTTCTTTTCAGGAGGACTTGCCCTGCAGTTCCCTTGCTTCCATCACAGACACCCTGGCTCACTGTCAATCTTTTTTTTCCTTTTAAGATTTATTTGTTTATTTATTTGAAAGTCAGAGGTACAGACAGAGAGAAAGAGACAGGGAGGGATCTTCCACTCACTGGTTCACTCCCCAGATGGTTGTAACAGCCTGCACAGAGCCAAGTCACAGCCAAGAGCCAAGAGCTTCGTTTGGGATGCTTACATGGGTGGCAGGGCCCCAAGCACTTGGACCATCTTCTGCTGCTTTCCCAGGCACAGTAGCAAGGAGCTCCATCGGAAGTGGAGCAGCTGGACATGAACCAGCACTCACATGGGATGCCACACAATACTGGCCCTTCACTCTCATTCTTAAAGACTCTGCTCAGCTATCACCTTCTCAGTTTACTTAACATTGCCTTCTTATCTGCTCATCTCCCACAGCATTTACCTGCTAACTCTAATACAATATTTCTTTTAGTTAGGTTTATTGTTTATTGTCTAGAACAGAGGTTAGCAGACTCCAGCTCTCCAGATAAATCTGACCCACCTCTGGTTAATAATTAACATTAATATTAATATTAAGTGTTTCTGGAACATAACCAGGCCCATTTTTCTATGCCTATAGCATCTATAGCTGCTTTGGAGTGACAATGGCAAAATTAAGTGGCTGTGATGGAGACCTTATGTCTTGCAAAGCTGAAAATATTTATTCTCTGGCCCTTTACAGAGGTTTTCCAACTCCTGATTTAGAATATAAATTCTATAAAAACAGGAAACAGATTTGTTTATTGGAGTATCCCAAGTGACTGTCAGATGGTAGATGTTGAAAAAACATTTATAGAAGGAAAGGATGAATGGATGGTGGTAGAGGTGTTTGGTTTCCGTGGCTTAAGTAGAGAAAAGTGGGAGAAACCC